TTGAGCTCAGAGTACAGTTTAGGGCTCAGAGTTTAGCTAGGGTTCAGGGTAATTAGACTTTGGAATTTAAGTCTAGGGTACAGTCAGGGTGTAGGGCTCAGGGTTCGTAAAGCAAGGAATCTGATGAGTCTCAGAGAAGCATGACCAACAAATAGATCCCAAGTTGCTGCTGAACACTGAACCACTATAGGTTTAGGGTTTAAGGTCTAGGGTTTATGGAAAACTTATTTTTTCAAGGCCTTGCAAAGCAAGCTTTTTTGTCCTTGGAAGGTGTTTTTTTTGGAAAGCCTCTTATCATAGGAACCTCAAGGCAAAGAAGACAAAGAGGGGTTGCCATGATCATTATAGGGATCATAGCCCAACCATCTTCAGAGGCTTGCTTTCCTCTTCCAGCCACAATCCCTGATAACACCCCTATAAACCGCGGTAAAATACCGACAAAATCCCGAGAAACCCTAGGACCAGATCCTGGCGAGGCTTGGATTCCGGGGTTGGTGTTGAATAGAGGCCATATCAGCTTTGAGAAGTCGCAAAAACCCGTTGTAGTCCCCATGTAGTTGCAATTCTAATAATATCCCCGTATGGGGTTATTTCAGGACATGAAACCCTATTCCAATGAAGCCTAAACCCTAAAACATCAACGCCTTAAGCAAAGGTCCTAAAACCAAAAAACAAAAGTTCAACCCATTCAAACAAGACTTTAATTCAGCCCCTAAGGAAAACCGGTGAATCTTGGATCCTGCATCACAGGGTGTAGAGTTTCGAGGCCACGATCTGGTGGCCAGGGCTGCTTCGGGGTTTGTGGTTTCGAGGATTGGGATTCAGGTTTCGGTTTCAAGAAGGTGTTGGGGCTTATAGGGCTTAGGGTTTAGAGTCGTTTAGAACTTAGAGTCTAGCCTTCAGGGTTGAGGGTTTAGAGTTTTGGGTTCCGGGTTTCCCGTTTGGGGTTGAGGGGCTTGATGTGTATGCTTGTAAAGTTTTTGAGTTGAAGCCTCAATGCTGAAACCTTAAACTAAACCAGATATCTCAGCGAAGACCCACACTTCGAAAAGGATCCGAAAAAAAGGAGCCCCAGAAAGTATCCCGCAACTCTATGGTTTTGTTTAATGTGCGGCGGACCTTTCTCAAAGCTTTCGTCTGCTAGACCCGAAACCCAAAACCCTAGAATCCTAAACCCTAAACCATAAACCCTGAACCCTAAAGCCCTAAGCCCTAAACTCTAAACCCTAAAACCCTAAACCCGAAACCCTAAAACCCTAAACCCTAAATCCTAAGCCCTAAACCCCCTTTGTAGCATAAGCTTAGGGTTTTGGGGTTCTGAGAAGGGCTGGGGTTCCCCAGTATGCAGCAAGCATGCCTTCCAGATTTCTTTTAACATTAGGGTTTGGGGTTTAGGGTCTAGGGTTTAGGGTTTAGGATCTAGGTTTTAAGGTTTAGGGTTTAGGGTCTAGACGCGGTTCAGGGTTTACAGTAGAAGCCAACAAGTTGGAAAACCCAGTAGCCTCAATCCTTAAGAGTAATGTGTAGGGACTTGTCCTCAATCCGGTTTCCAACTTTTGGGGTCTACTTTTGGATTAGGGTGTCCCTCAGATCTCCCATCGTCTGGCTGCAAAAGCATCTGGACACACAGTAGCTTCCCGCTGGCTGTGGAGAGCCCGCTGGCCCTGAGCACCCAAACTCCAACACAAAACACCCTAATCCCACAGCTCTAAGCCCCAAGCGCGAAACCAAAAGCCTGAAGCATCAGTCGACGGAGTGCTTCGTAGTCCCGAGCCATGTATCTTCTTGTATACCGACAAGCCCTTGGGTTCACAGAGGTTAGAAGTGCTTGTAATAGCAACCCTTATGATGCCCTACATGCTTTATAGACTTACATCGATGTTACGATATACCTCAAGACCCAACTCTGGTTGTTGAGGCCCTCTCAGTCTGCCCTAAACCCCAAACCGAGCTGGCCCCTGCTCCCTAGACCCAACTTTCGGGTTCAGGCTTTGGGGTATCGAATCCCACCCCACGTTAAAGACCTGAAGCCTAAAAGGCTCCCTCCGCACCTCAACAGCCATAAACCGTGCCTAAACTATCAAGCCCTCAGAAAAGAACCTTTAAAGAACTCAACCCTAAACCCTAAACCCGAATCACAAGAGGGACCCCTGAAAGGAATCCTCAACCCTCAGCCTTAAAAACCCTAGAACCCCGGACATCCTAAACGTTGAATCCCTAAGCCATACAAGCTTCGGCCTAAAGCCCTACCTTAACCAACCAAAAACCACTTTTTTTGTAGGTTCTTACTATAAACCCCAATATGGGATTTATAGGGACCCTACACAAAAATAGGTTCTGGTGGGTTAAGGTAAAGCCAAACAGTTGTAAACCATAAGCCCTGAAACGCAGACAAAACTTGACGTAGCCATATATGAAGCCCCTATAAGATTCTGTAATTTTTTGTAAGACCCTTATGGAACCGCATGTTGCAAGCCATGTATAAACACAGAACCCGAGACCTCTGGCAAAATGCTTCGCCAAGCCTAGTCCTGAACTCCTATGCCCTATGCCCGAGACCCCTAAACCCTTAAACCCCAAACCCGAAACCCTAAACCCTAAACCCTAGTCTTGAACTCCTTGGGCGGCTCCACCGCTGTCAAAGCAGCCGATTCACCCGACAGGGTTGCTCTGGGTTTGGTTTTTGTTTTGCAGGGTTTGTGTAGAAGGGTGTCTCTAGGCATCAGGGCATAATCGTATCTTCTAGAGTTCTTTATAAGGGTTTTCAGAAGGTTTCTATAGGACTGTCCAGGTTCTCGTCGGGTTATAAGCCCTCAACCCAAAAACCCGAATGAAATCATGGTATCTAGGGACCCTTGAAGGATCATCCCTTAAAGGAGCCCTGCAAGGAATTCTTCAAGGAAGCCGAGTTACGTGTTTCGTCACAGCACAAACCCAAGATGGGTCGAACGTGTTCCTTCGTTTCGGTCTAAGCGCCATGGGGTTCAGAAAACTTGAAAGACCTAATGGAAAATTCTAGGTTGTAGGATCCTGACTACAGACCCCCCAAACAAGGTGCTCTTGATCTCAAGAAGCCCGGAAGTGTAGAATACATATAAGTGCCTAGGAAGCCCTATGAATCCCCTTGTGGAATCTTTACAGGAATTCGTGCAGGAACCCGTGAAGGAACCCTTAAGGAACAGTTCCAATTTTTCTGGAGCCCATGTTAAGCTCAATCGTATTAATAGAAACAAGAGGGCCAATTATGAGATTCCACAGACTTCCGGGTTTAGCTTTGGAAGTGCTTGGGCCCTTTGAATTCCAGATGTAACGATCAACCCTTTCCCATCGGCAAGAAGCAGTTTCACCGAAGACCGCGACTTCATTGTCTCAGTTGCTCGTGGAATCAGAAGATGTTGTGCGAAGACGAGGATTGTTTGACGTATTTCGGGGGTTTAGGGGACTTTACAGCCTGCTTATAGGGTTTTGATGATACCGGATTTTAGGGCATGCTTTACCAGATCTGTATCATTGAGGCCGCCTCCCAAACCCCAAACTCGAAACCTGAACAACACAACCCACACACCCAGCACTCTAAACCGTGGTTCTACAACCCTAAACGCCAGCCCCGAATTTTGTTAAGGGCCCAAAACCCTGCAGCCGACACTTGAAAAGGGGTTTCCCGGATTCAGATGGGAAGATCGGAACGTGCCACCCTCGCCATCGCGCCGAAATCAGAGATTGAGAGCAGACCCCATGGACCCATGCTCTTGGTGGACAAGATCTTGCACTCTTCATACTGGTCATCATCCTGGTATAAGCAGAAGAATCAGTAGTATTTAGTTACATAGTAGTAGTCTTAGTCCTAGGAACAGTAGCAGCAGTAGCAGTAGCAGTAGCCACAGCAGTCGTGGTAGCGGTAGCAGTAGCAGGTGAGTACCCTGAAAAACCCCCAAACCCTAAACCCCTAACCCTACGAGCAGCAGCAGCAGCAGACGTCGGCCAGCGGGGTCCATGTTCCGTCACGCGCCCGGAGAGACCGGGCGGCTTCGTCAAGGTGGGATCGCAGCCCGTGGATTGCATGAGTCGTCAGATGAGGGGATTGAGTTTTTTGTTCATGGGAGGGGCGGGAGCGGCAGGGCTAGCGTGTTTTGGGGTTTTGCTCTGTTTGGGTCTGGGCCTCATCTGCGGTGGTTTCGCTGTAGAACAAGGGAGGGTAGCGGTCTTTTGGGGTTTGTCGCAGCTGGTCCTCAATCAACTAGGGCATGAAGATTGCTCGTAAGCAGTCAACCCGGCCCTCTTGCAGCATCGCAACTACCACCACCACCACCACCACCACCACCACCACTACCACAAAGGGCTCGAAAAGGGTTTGGGGTTTAGGGCGTGGAGGGTGTCTATCAGGCTTTCGGGTTATCACGCGTTAGCGCCTGGAGTTTAGGGTTTCCAGCTTTATAGTCTACGACCCCCAACCAAAAGCGTGACCGCAGACTGTACTATACCATATTAATATAATACCACAAAAGGCCATACCATAAGACTGTACTATATGTCAGAGTCGTAGCATATGTAGTAATAGATTACTACTCTAAGCCTCCCCAGGCCGAGACATAAGGGCCCCAACTCTCTAAAGCCGAAGGGGAGGTTCCGGGCTGGACAAGGCCGCCTTCGGACTTTTTTTGAGCCGCACAGGTTCCGTACCAAGTAAGCTATCCCTTGAGGGAGTTTAGTGGTTAGGGGTTGGTATTGTTTTTTTGTTACGGGTTTGCTGGTGTTTTTGGTTGAGTATCTAGGGCCTTCAATGCGTGTTGCAGGCTTCTAGTTGGGGGTTTGGCGTTAAAACCGGCCCCGGTTTCGGGTACTCGTAATCCCAGGTACCAAGAATCTCCACCCTAATTGAAACCTTAGACTTTCAATACTCCCGTCTCGCTTAAAGCCCTTGTCCTCCAAACTGGGGAGGATCGTGGGATGCTTGAGCTGCAGGGTTTCTTCCTCTCGGCAATGGCGATGAACCTTTGCTGATGGCTTCCTGCCGCCATGCGGGACTACTGTTGGGTGCCTTGGCCGTGGCGATTTCCGCCGCAGGATTCTGGAAGGCTTCCGTGTCTGAGACATCTGGACTGGGTTCGAGCCCCAGTGAAGGCATGGCAGATGGATCCTTCTCAGCTCCGCCTCCGGCTCCGCCTCCAGCTCCGCCTCCAGCTCCTGTGGTCCAGAGCTGCCACGGGCCGAGGTTGATCCTGCACGTCGGACCGGGCAAAACGGGGACCTCTGCATTGCAGGACTTCTTGGTACAAAAGGCGACGTGGCTTGAAGAGGAGTGGGGAATCGGCGTGGGCTTTCGTCAATCGAAAGCTGCTGCCTACGATCTTGCTATACCCCTCTGCGAAGAGAACAGAGTTGAGAAGGACAAGTGCGAACCCAAGCAGAATCTCGGTTCTTGCTCAAGATCTTCATCGAGATTTTTGTTTTACCGAACTGCGCTGGAGCCGTAGATTATGTGCTTGCCCCCCGCCATAGGAGCTTTAAGTGACGATTCCCTAAGCCCCGCATCCTGAGCTGAGCTCTCAATCTTAGCGTGAAGTTCCTCAACAAGAGCCCAGGGATGCAGAGAAGGTCACTGAGTCGGTTCAGTACATCAAGAGCAAGCTGCAGAAACGTTCTCTCGTGGTGCTCTCCTAAGTGGGTTTAGGGTTTGGGACTTAAGTTTAAGGTGTAGGGTGCTCTTTGTGAGGAATGTAGAAGACTCCATATCGTAGGGTTTTGTGTTGTTTTGGGGTGGCTTAAAAGGTTCAGGAGCTCTTACTCGTAAGGGGGTCAACATAAGTTGCGGCCACAAGGCCTGAATAGACTTTTCCCGGTGCCCTTTATGACCCTTCCATACTACGCACGCAGGTCGTGTCCAGTGAGGAGTTTGCTCGACCTACGTTTACCAGCACATCCTGGCAGTGCTTTAAGTCCCTCGTAGGATCAGGGGCCTGCTTCAGTGTGGTGGTTGTGCACCGGAATGCCGCGGCATGGATGGCATCGGTATGGGCAGAAACCAGCAAGCTTCACAGCCGCTTGGCTCGAGTCTTTCCTTTGTCATAGTCCGAACAGATACATGGGCACATGGGTCTTTGCGGGTCTGCGATCATGGTTGCTATGATGACAAATTATAGCCAAGATGTCTTTTGTCGTGACTGTTCTTTTCATTACTCTGTACTCCTTCTTCTTCTTCTTGCTGTTCTTCTTCCTGTTCTTGACCGAGGTGCCCCCCGAAGCTTTGAGTCGTTTACGGCGCTCTTCGCCGGCCAGCGCGGGGCGGACCTTCAGGGAGATTCCGACCCGCAGCTGCAGATTCTCAACAAACTGAACGAGGAGTTTCCGGGAAGGGTGGATGCCGTGTCATACGATGCTAGGTCCCCCAGGAGTACCATTTCATGACTTTTTGAAGTCTTGACTCTAGTCGTTTAAGGCCCCTTCTGTGACAAGGGAGCCAAGGATTACTTGGAGGAGGTGGACAGTAGCCTTGCCGCTTTCTTCATCTGCAACGCCACTCTCCGACTGACTGGCGAGCCGTGGCATCGGTGCAAGGAATCTGTTCCGAGTCCGAAGACACTCAACAAATCCCCACTTCACGCCGCCATCGACGTGGTGCGGCTGGCACGGATATACTACACAGCCAGGCTTGGGCATGAACTCATCAACTTCGGTTAGGGTTTGCATGTAGCGAAACAAGCGGCTGCCTATTCTCCCCCTCCCCCCTCTCCTCATCTCCCTTTTGAGAAGAGCACCGAAAGAGACACTTGCGAAGCCCGAAGCCCTGAACCCTATGTACGGTTTAGGGTTTACTGTCCTCAGATTAGCTCGCTTCAAGGTTTGCTGCTGTTTTAAAGCAGTGTTCAAAAACCCTATAATCCCTAAACCCTAT